ATGTACATAGAAGCTACTTAAGAATCTTGCAAATGCATTAGAAAAGGTCAAAAATTTTCATCAACAACATCCATGAAAACTAAAACAAAGAATTAAGAAAAAATTTGTTATAAAAAAAAATGAGATTCAATGAAAATTGTATTTTATCTTCTATCTTTATTTGTGGTTTTTATTTATATTGTTAAAGAGTTGAACAACCAATAGCTATAAGATTCAATTTAAGAACTATAATTTGCACAGTTACTAGATGAATTATTGCAATTTGTCACAACCTTCTAGACTATATAATAAAAATGAAGACTTTCAAGAATGACATATTTTTCTACAAATAGATATAATGTGTTTTATATTATGACCTTAGAAGAGACTCATAATATTTGGTAATATTATTGGAGGTACAAACTACTCTTGATAGTATTCCAAATATTTTTTTTGAAAAAAGTTATGAAGGCCTCAACAATAATCAAATATTATGGTGGTCTTTCTGCCTTAGAATGGAATATTATTAATAGCTAAGAGGACCTATCAACTACCTTCATACAAAACAAAGATCAAAGTATATGGAAAATATGGTTAAACGTATCTTAGACTTGCAATCAATATGTAATCATTGCTCTTTATAGAACTTGTCTCTAAAAAGAGAAGTAATATTACAAACATCCATAATTATTCTAATAATTACTTACATAATATGAATAGGTAGAAGTAGGTAAAAATAAATAAATTTAATAATATCTTATTGAAGAGCTTCTTAGAAACTTCATAAATGTGACTTCACTTTTATACATATCTATATGTGATTGGTAGGTTGAAAACTTAACCAATAAGTTGGTTATGTATTGCATATGTTGATGACTTGTGGTACAAGTTTGATATGTAGCACACATATAAGAAGCTTGTCTTACAAGTTCAATACATATTCTACAAGTTAGACACATATTACAAGTCTTATGGAATGTCGCTACATAGCTCCTAGTTAGAAAGTATATATAGTAGCAAGAGTGAGATCTTTGTCACTCTTGTCAATTCTAAGGACAATCCTTATCCTAGTCATCATTGAGGTCAATATTCTAATCTACTTTCAAGGATCTTTAGTTTTCTTATCTTTTGGCAATAGCCATTCTAATTTCTTTTTGAATATACATATATATTTATTTTCTTTTTGTCATCGTTTTTGGAAAAATATCTCATTTCTTTATTTGCATTCACAAGTTCTTATCTTTGACATAGTATTAAGCCAATAGTGCTTAAAACCACAAGAATATATTACATATCTAATCTATTTTAAAGTGTTAAAAATATTAAAAAAAAAAAAAAAAAAAAAAAAAAAACTAGTATAGAAAATAATCAAATTGGAATTAAATTACTTTATACAAATGGTAATAAAATTTTGTAGTCCTATCTTTGAAATATACATAGTTTTCTTCAACTACATCTTATCATTAGTCTTACTACTTCTTTTTTTTTTCTTCTCACAATTAGTTGCTTATTTATTTATTTAGTTACAAATAAAAAATTAAAAAAACTATAGAAACAATTTTTAGTAGGACAAATGACTTTTAGATCCATCCTTGATATTCTCAAACTATATTTTCTATAACATTGTTCGTTTTCTTTTTTCATTTATACTATATTGCTAATTATATATTAAAATATTTTTAAAATCAAGACTCATTCAATGACATCTTCATTAATGATAATAATTATTATTGTTTCACCAATCTTCTAACGACTTACCAAAATGGTCACAAGGCTCTCTTAATTAATTAGTGGATCCACAATAGTCCAATTTCGGAGAGAAGGTGCGAAAATGTTACCCGTCGTCGTTGACTGTCACAAAAACGTGAGTTTTACTGAATGAATCATCCAGAGTTCTCCCGAAAATTGACCTGTCGGTAGAGAGAGAGTCATCGGAGCGGGCACAGCCGACTCCAACCGTCCTATCGACAAGCCCAAGGGCGGAGACAACGGCGGCGTCGACGCCTTCAATCAAGTCGCAACATCACCGCAAGCAAAGCAAGATCGGCGAAATGCATGCTCAGTGTCCAGACAGAGACCAGCTCAAATCGATCCCGGTGGGCGTTGTTACTACATTGGCACCGCCGCCGCGGCCTGCGGATGCCAACAAACCAGGACAAAGCCTACGAATTCCACCTCCACCGAAGTCAAAAGTTGTCAAGCGTGTGTCCCAATTTTCATCGTGTTCGGAAGACTTGGCGCCTTACTGAACTGGGCTCACGGTGTATGGTGACAGCACTGTGACGGATCGTTCCCCTTTGGCACGTGCACTGCATGGAGAACGGTGGTTGGGTGTGATGTAGGTGGAGTTGTTTAGTTGCACGTGATTTGACCCGCAGATCAGAGGTTTTGAACGTTTGGTTTCAATCGCGCATCGGAGCTTCGATCGTCTTCTTCGACTGGGGCACGTCGCCCCCACTTGGCCGTGGTCTTGCGACTTGCTGCCACTCTCGCCTGCCCCCACAATATTCAACCAGTCATGAACCCAGACTTTGTCATATCGAGACTAATAGTAAGAGATAGTGGTTTCGATCTGGGTTACGAAGTACCTCGGAGGACAGGGATCACTTCAGTAATCTCCACCAATTGGTTCCATTGTGCTTAAGTGATCTCCTGTCTCGACAGTAAATTGGAGCCGGTTGGTGGAGCATGGTGCAACCGTGAGATTCATCGTTGTTTCGAAGATGGTTTGCTTTTGCGCTTCCCTTTCACTCCCTGGAAGTGGCGACTCGTTTCCTAGAATTTTTGTGTGCGATTCCTGGCTCATCACCGGCGAAGAGGAGTCCTCACTTGGCACTGCCTTGCCTTACTTGCCCTTCTTTAGAGGTTTCTTCTTCACCTTTTGCCGCCATGTCTCCATTCCTGTCTTGTAGCGGCTTCATATCTGCGCCAGAAAAATTCTAGAAAACAAGAGGAGTTCTGGAAGCATTGCTGTTTGCTTCTCGATCTTGAAAACCATGAGGAGACTATTTCTGTTTTCTTTAGGAGAAGAATCTCCAGAAGTAACGGAATTGTCAGACTAGTAGGATTCAGTGCCTCTTCCTTCACCAATTCTTTTTCTAATTTGCCGAATAGCACTGATATAGTTTATCACGATCATGGGAAGTGAAGTCTCAAATCTGCGCCGCACTCATGTAGGAATTACAAAACTTTGGTCAACTAAATATTCCAGAGGAAGAGGAAGGAAAGAAGATGCTCGGGGAACACCATCGTAGTTCTCAAGCTTGCGTTTCCGCTTTCCGTGGCCTTCATCTGTGTATTTTATTGAAGCCCAGGGAGACATGGGTGACACTGTAAAACTACGAGAACTACCGTCGCGAGAAAAAGGAAAAAACGAAGCTGGTGAAGTTCTTCAAGCGACATGCCGTGCACCTTGCCCTACACACACGAAGTCCGTTGGGAGAGAACGAGGAACAGATAGAAGAACCATATGACCACCAGCTTCTCTTTTTCCTCCAGCGCTTTAAATAATGGCAGCGGATTCTTTTCCTTGTATGTTAAGCGAATCCCACACAGAAGAAAGGTCTCTTTATGGCAAGTGAGTGGTGCCCTGCATGAACACCGATGAATACACAATGACTGCTCACAGCAGCAATCGCCCATGTCAGATTCGGTCCACGCCACGAGTGTCAATCCAGTTATTTGAATAGTTTGGTTTAAAAATACATACAATGTATACATGTCGACCCCACGAGCGGTGCCACTCCGACACATCATAATGGAGTTACTACAGTCTCTGGGATGGAGGTTGAAATTGGAGGTGACCATCCGATTGTTGTGTGACACACTATCTTCATGTGCCGATATTTACTCCAAGGAAGTTCGTGCGTCTTAGCAGCTGGCCGCTGATTTGCTGAAACACACTTAATTGCAAGCATACCTCTACTCTTCTTTACATTATTCACAGATTCATGAATTGGATAGTATAGGTTTCACAAATACGAAGTTAGTGTGTATGTGTTCATTCATTGGGAGGAAATCTTGTATCCGAACTTATATATTGCTTGCGACAGTAAGCAACACCTCAGCCCAAATTCCTACTATTTCAAGGCTGTTCAGGTAGTCAAATGTGTTCTAACAAAAGAGAGGACGCCGCAAATGACACCTTCATAACAGTTTTGAAGAGTATGCACATTTCGTGGGTCCTGATTTTTTTGTTTTTGTTCTTTTGTCTCCGCAAGGAATGGATACAGAGACAGGCTCTAAAATTCAATGAATCCCGCTCATTTTTGTGCACAATTGTAGTGGTTCTCTGGAATAGTCTCAGATTATCTTTTGTTTCTGTCCCCTCAGCAGAGATCAAGGTTTTGTTTCATTCAGGGACTTTCGAGGGAAGATGTGCTCAGTAAGAGAGAAATAGGTCTTCACATCTGTCCAAGGTACAATGTGAAGACCTATTCCTGCAACAAGGAATGGATTTCTAGAGGTCATAAACCAACGCTATTTTCTGAATCACAACTAATGATTAATAAGACAATGATCAGTAGATTAAGAAATCTTCTAGAGTGTCGTGACTATGTTAAAAGTTGAGTTGATGAAGTCCTGAAAACACTTGCAAGTGACGATCGAGGTAGTGAACCTTCTGAAAGATGCATTTGTGAATGACGTCCACATATTGTGAAATCATTGCGTCCCCTGCAACCAAAGAATACAGTGAAAACTCACGAGTCCAAAAGTTACGAATGATTCTATGGAGGACACAATTGCATGGCAGGAAATTTTGTAGAACTCTCGACAAATCAACACATTTCCTTCTCGTGAGTGTGTACCTATTACGTTCGGTACATTCAGTGTACTTCCACTGGGAATACCAATAGTAAAAACACCTGCTGTATTTCAAGGGGGGCTTAAGTCCATGTTTGATGCTATCATTGTATGATTGGTCAAACGTTTCAATTTCTTTAATTTCTTCACATGAGGTGATATTATTAAGTCGGTTTCGTGATAGACCATCAAATTTTCTACCGTAGAATACCTTCTGATTACGTCAGCTTCACAATGCATTTCTTAAATATGAAGTCCAAGTGGTCCATTGTTTGGCTCTAGCTCTTCTAAATATGATATTAGGCTTCACTGTATAGTACAAACGTTGAACCATTGATCCTCTCGAATTTCACTGCAAAAAATGATTTTCTACATGAATTTCTAAAAAAATCGACAGTACTTCGGAAGACAACAGGATGATGATCCAGTTCTTCACCTGAAATAAACTATCTAAACACCAAGCACAATGTACATGTAGAATAACACCATAGCTTCTACTCAGGATTTTTTTCAGCTTTAGTGGGAGTGAAAGCAGCTAAGAGTACAGCAATCTTGGAAGTGAGAAATCCAAGTGATCCTGCCAAAAGCTCCGGAGGGGAGATGCTGATCACGGCGGAAGCTTGAGATGCCCTCGTCACCACAAGTGCAAGCCCTACAATCAGAGCAAAGGTTGCAGCTGGAGATTTCACCTTCAGGCTTGAGAATGTACCATTGCTCTTCAGGCTTTCGGGCTGGTCTGGGCTCGGTATTTGGTCTACCGCCCTTTGAATCAAGAGAAGATACAGAAGCCCTCCAGCGCCACCTACGGCAAATGCTTGTGCCATATCTGGGACACCGAGCAGGTAAAGTCCCAGGGTTCCAACACCAACCATACCAGCAGTCGAGCCGAGTAAGAGAAGCTTAAGAGATTCATATTCTCGCATACTAGCTTTGCGTAACCTTGCAGACTCTTGTGGAGTCTTTCTTGCTTCAATGGGAACTTTAACTGCCAGAATTGCTGAATCCTCTGATCCATTGCACTCTAAAACTTGAGCTGGTTTTAGTTCAACCGCCGAATGGTCCTCGCCATCACCCATAAGGATGTCCCTGCCATTGAATACGTGAAAAAATCCTTTCTGTGCGTCTAATCCTGATTCCTCAGGCCCCCCACATGGCATCATGGTTACTGTCGCTTGCTCCAACCGCCATGTCCCTGCAATATCGAAATTCATAGCAATTCAGTCCTTGCGCATACATATCAACAAACAATCGCGCACAAAAATGACTTCGGATTTGGCTAAAGCATAGTACCTGACTCTGGAGCTATCCAAAGAGCAGAGATTCGGCCAAGATTAGGGCCACGAAAATTGACTTCATCAACTGATCCTCTCTGGAACCGCAACGATGCAGAGTTTGCTACACTGTCCTGAACTGGGAGAATTCTCTGCATGAGCGCTTCACCTCCTTCACCAATCAGTAAAAGCATGATACATGCATTTGTAATCGACAGACTCGCCCGATCTTCGTTGCTCGTAGTGAGCTGAACGGTGTAAGTGGCCTCTGCATTTCCAGAACTGGAGGTCACCCGATCTAAGGCCCTGAACGCATCTGATTCCATATCTTGAAGGTTTGTATTCTTGTAATCCTGTGTGTGCAGCAAGTGTCTGGGCTCTTGGAAAACCACACGCCGTCGGACAGATCCTGCCATATATCTTCACATATTGTGAGAAATGCAACAACATCATACTAATCCGTTAAAATAGCACTCTTGAAATTGGTGTCCCTGATGACATTCTGGAAACTGAATTAAAAGAAAACAGACGTTTCATCCTCCAAAATTCAAGAGCACGCAAGAGACCCAGATTCCTCACTACAAAAAAAAATATGTCTCGAAATTCACGATACATGTAACCAAGAAACAAAGCTCATTACTTCGCTTGGCGGCACTTGACCGATTCTCGTGATTACGACGAAAATTCCTGTGAGTCATAATACATATCAGATATAATTTACAAATGAATGAAAACAGGTATAAGTAAATTCCTTACCGGGCGATGGGGGTGACTTGGCGCTCGTCGCAGAAACTCTCAAACTCGATGCTTTCCCACAGCCAACACTTTTCTTGCCCATGGGAAGTGTCCCCTTGCTGTAGTGGACGTTAAAACATCCACCACACACAGACACGAGGTGACAACACTCCATCACGACCCAACTCTTTCTCCCCTTCCCACAAAATCCCTCGTACCCAGCTACCACCCGTCTACTCCCCCACGCTCTCACCCAAAGTAATGAAATATCAGAAAGTGCCCTTCATAAAAGCGGGGCGCGGGCAGAAATCGTCGGGCACATCGGAACGCAAGTATCAATTGAACGATTCCTACTCCAACAACAGAAGTGATGAAACCGCGAATTGAACAGCCGCGGCAAGGATCACTATACACCTGCGGCTTAAATTGGGACACTGTAACGATGATTCCACGAGAAAAAATAAATTTCTACAGTGCGATACTGTTACCAAAGGAACCCAGAAACCAGAAATCGGAAATCACAACCCAGAATTGTGGGTGCGCTTCCAGAGATGGAGTGCGAAGCAGGGCAATCAACAGCGCGGCACAAAAGCAGAGCATCGAATCTTACGAAACCGAAGTCGATCCATGAGTGCCGCGTCAGCAGAGATTTCGTGTTTGTCGTACGTGGCAAATATGCCACGTGGTATTTAGAAGATGAATTTGCCACTTGTACATAAAGATGGATGACCTTTGTGTGATTGACCATCCAAGTCCAGACGAAGTTTTCTGTGGATGAGAACGACTTTCGTAGGAGGTGTTGAGGTTGATACCTACTTGAGCGTAGCGGGTATCTTACGGGTATAAAGCCTTCCCCTATAAGCTAAGAAACGGGTATAGTATAGTGATGCCCTTGCATGGGCTATGGTCTCAGGCTGACTTGGTTATGGTCCTCACTGAAGTGGATATTATAAATTTGTCTTCATCTCTACCACATATTTGTTTTTTTGTTTGTACTAACAATTTGCAAATGCTATTTTACCAGTTGTCCTAGCATATATATTGTAAATGAAATTGCATGAGAAATATTTTTTTAATTTCATAAGTGATTATGTTTGTCCATGCAAGGCTTTGAAATTAATATCTATATAATAAAGAAGCTAATTTACAAGACAAAGACTTAAAGAAATCTTCTCATTTGCCAAAATTAAAGTAATCGTTAACCAGCAGAAATCCCTGCATAATCTTCAAAAGACCTTCAGTTTATTGTTGTATAGCATATCATATAATTGCTTTTCCGAGTCCAATGGCACAAGTTTCTGCTAATATTTTATAAAACACAAATTGACTGATCTGAATTGATTGTTAACATGTTGGTATAAAATGAAATGAATTTAATGTCACAATGAGGTAGTTTATATTGATGCTACAAGTGAAAGTAGATGTTTCAAATGCTTATTGGTGCTTGTGTTTTTATAAAAGTAATGTTTGCAAGTTTTATTGCCACTCTTTTGTGAATTTGATTTAAATATGATTCGATACAATTAATCTGATGCTAGATATAAATATTTAACATTAGCAAAAAAAAAGTATCATCTTAATTTTAATTTTTGTAATAAAACTTTATTTATGTTATTTATATGGTTTTAACACAAACAAGTTATTGCAATAGCACTAAAATTTTAGTGATTTATGTTAAACAAGTATAAACAATATTTATCATACAAATATATATATATATATATATATATATATATATCCATAAAACAATCAGTTATTTAATCATTATTAACGAAATTGCAAACTATTTCTCAAGTGAGATGCTTCCTTTGTAATGCTATTAAAACTAAATATTCACAAAATATTATTCTACACCAACCATTTGCACATTGTTCATTCATGTGGATTTCTTGTGGTTTTGTTTCTAATTTGGCAAATATTAAAATTATTCCCAATGCAAAGCTCTTGATTTATAACTTTTGTACAACCTTACAAAATATCAAATAGTTCCAAAATTAGCAACCCTCCTATTGCATTGAAACGTCACTCATGTATCAAACCATCAAAGTAATGCAGATCTGATTGTGAAAAATGCAAGGCATCACCTCTTTGCTACTTTCCTCTCACAAAAACAAGCCTCCCAGTAATGCAATGCCTTCATGTCCCTAATCTCTTATCACTACGAATGAATTGGCTGTTGAGGGCATCACCGCGTACATCAGCACAAACTCAAACCCAATGAAAGATTCGTCTCAAAACAAGAGAAAGTAACACTGAACATTATTTCACTATAGAAAAAAGTAGAAGAATTCAACAACCAGGAGGAAGAAAAGGAGGAAGAGAATGGTGATGACATTGCAGTCATTCCGAAGGTTGCATGAAAACAGACACCCGCCTTTCTGGAAGCACATGCAGCAGTGGAGGTGGAGCTCCGGAGAAGGGACGCACCAGGGGATGCAATTCTATGCAGTGCAATGCAAAGCAAGGGTGCTTCGAAGCAGTGATACATCGAAGAAGTAATGCACACGCAGCATGTGGTGTTTGCATGGAAGCGCCGGATTGTTGAAGCTTAAATTGCCACGAACGCTACGAATGCTGCTACTGTTGCTTCTGCTGCTGCTGCCAAACAGCTAGTATTGTTTCACGCCTTGGAATTCATGCTTCAGCTTTCTAGTTCCCTTCTGCTTACCATCTAGAAGGGCTGAATCCACTGCAGCAGCAGGAGATTGAGTCGCTTCTACCTTGCAGTTCTTCAGTCCCAGTCGGGCGTGTCACGTTTAATGCAGGCTCGGCTGCTGACAACTCAGTCCTCGTGGTTCAGCGTTTTGTCGGTGGGTCCATGGGGTTTACAGCGGCTCTTCTCGCGACTGGTGTAGCAGCTCTTGTGAAACCTAAGTTGGTAAGTGGGGTCTGGTGGGGATGTTACAGTTTCGCCATCGCCTGCTTGGTTTGGTGAAACTCCACGTCATGGTGTTTTTTGTGCAGTGATGTTAGGTTTTGCGTGGCTCTGAACAAGCTGTTCTTGCTTTTGCTCCGAGCTAGTGGGTTTTTTGCTTTGAGCGGGTGACGAGCATTGTTGAGGAGGCGCTTGAAGCGGTGGGGTTGGTGGGTCGGTTGTGTTTTTTGTTTGTTTGTTTTTCTTTTCCTCTTTTCTTGTTGGAGGGTGGAGTTCGGGGATCAGGTGCAGGGCTTATATCAGGTCAATTAGTGATGCAGACTGATCGACTGTTCAACATGAGCGTGTTGCACCGCGAGTAGAAGGCATGGACGAGGGTGCTCCTCCAACTCCTGTGGTACTCGAAAGTTCGCTTTCCAGCTCCATTATGGACTTGGGCCAGACAGAAGGATACCACCACAATTTCGGCACTCCGTATGGGAGGGAGGGTCGCGAGGGTAATTTGGACGAAGGTAACATCCGCGTTGGTAATGGCGGAGGAGTAGGAGTTGGGGAGGATGAAGAGGATAAGCTAGACAAGGAATGCGAAGGGATGGGGAGGAAGCGACGGGCCGAAATCTGGCAGGATGCTGAAATGGACGCTCTTGTAAGAGCCTTTCGGGAGGTTCATATGAAGCTCACATCGGCAGCCGGGAATGGAAAGAAAGTGAAGCAGATTTTCAAGTCAGCTAATGATAAGTGGCAGGAAGTCAGGATGCTACTTCTAGCCTCGGGAGTGGACAGACAGCCCAAAGAAATCGAACGGAAGTGGTCTAACCTTTCGACCGCGTTTAAGCAGATCGCTGACTGGAACAATAACAAAAAAATGGGGCGCCCAAGTTATTGGGATTTGGACGAGACCTTGAAGAAGGAGAAGACCAAGGCGAAGGAGCTCCCAGCCACATTTAGGGTGCAGCTTTTTGAAGCCATGGCGGAGTTTATGGGTGACCGCCAGGGCCCTCGTAGTCGATCTCCCGCACAAGCGGCCTCTCCTGGATTTCTGCCAGTATTTTGTCTTCCTCGTCCGTCTCCTGCTCCAGGTGCCTTTACTCTCCCGATCTCCCTGACTCTCTTGTGAATGCATCCGCTCGATATGGAAGGTTTTTTATTAAACGATCTCTAATTTCCTGCGTCGTCTCTTTTTTCAGGTTGTCAAGGGTTTAATTGATATTACTGTCACATTCGGATGTATATGCGTGAGTAATGGAGTATTTAATATCCTCGGATGTGATGAAGTTTGCGAGCTTTGCGAGCCCGATGCGTGTAGTTCTTTGATTAATTCTATTTTCTCTGCATGCAGGGGTGGTTGAGGTACCATTGCCTTTGGAGAAGCTCGGTATCCATGGCAACCGCTTAGATGCTGCAAATCAGTAAGCCGTGTTGTTTTTTAAAGTTGGCCTAAAAAATTGCTGTTCTAACTAGTCAACTGAAGCCTCTAGCTGAGGGTTTGCAGTTGGGTCGGCAGTTTCAGTGAGTGTTTTTTTTGCTGAAGTGACCTAATTATGCCTATCATTATGTTTGTGTATCGTCAATATCATGCTAATTCAGCCGTGGTTTGTGCATTTGATTCTGTATTTCATTATAGGAAAAGGCGTCGGGTTGTTATTCTAGCTCCAGGCCGTTTTAATCCACCCACGTACATGCATCTTCGCATGTTTGGTTAGTCTATCTACTCTTTCACTCTTTGGGTATTTGCTATGTTGAGCACACGGATAATAAGTTGATGCTTATGCATGCTTGCTGTTTCGCTATTGTAGAGAAAGGCTCACGATGTGCATTTTGTTAAGCATTGCAGAGTTGGGAAGGGATGCACTTGTAGCAGAAGGGTATCATGTGTTGGGGGGGTACATGTCTCCTTTCAATGACCTGTGCCACAAGAAGGTGCCACTCAGTTCTTTTCTAAGAAGTTTAGCTTCGTTGCGAAGCAATTCTCAAGTGTAGCATATGTTTTGTTGTTAGTGGTGTGTTAGACTTCTAATCACGGGTAACCCTGGCTTAAATCTTTTCACTTATAGGGTCTTTAATGGACGCCTGCAAAAGAGTAGACGCCCATTCAGAAGCTTCGTTTATAGTGGAACTTAATCATGTCTTGGTGCTGATACCTGTACATGTGGAAATGGGAAAGGGGCTTGCTCCCGCAGAGCAGCGTATCAGGATGTGCGAATTAGCTGTTGCTGATTCTCCTTTTATAATGGTCGATCCGTGGGAGGTGAGTTCTGCACTGAAAATACCATCGTCTCTAAGTATATTTCTCCCATCTTTGCCTTGATTAAATTCCGACCCTAATGTGCTGGGTGGGATGGATTGAAGTAGGCTAAGCAGAACTCATACCAAAGAACGCTTACTGTATTGGCTAGGATCGATATGTTGGTTAACTTCAATAACTTCGCCCCTGATGGTAAGTGCTCTGTTCATTCCTCAAGATGTGTAGGATTCTTGAATATCACGAACTCATTTATCAATAGTTGCCATGTGTGCCTTTTGCGCTAGACTTGTTTATGGAATATAAGAGTCGTTTGTTTTTACCTGGCGGTAATGATGAAATGGTTTTGCAGAAAAAGTAAAAGTGATGCTGCTTTGTGGAACTGATGTGTTAGAGTCCATTGCAACTCCTGGGGTATGGTTGTCGGATCAGGTTAGTTTTTTTTCCTATGTATGAATTCGTTTCTTCCAATCCTCTCACATGTTTTGTACCCAGTCGGATGATTTACACGATATTTATTCATGTTTTCTTTCAATGAAATATTTTACAAGTAATGTTTCAATGTTCTGTGAGGAGGGCATGTTCTACAATGCATTGATGTTTGATAAGCCTTAGTTTGACAGACTTTTTTTTTTTTTTTTTTTTTTTTCCGTGTATGTGAGCAAGGTCTGACAGACGAAACGCTTTTCCTGCAGGTGAGAACACTATTGCATGAATATGGAATTGTGTGTATAAACCGAGACGACAAGGATGCACGACGCCTTGTGTTTGAACACGAAATTCTGTATAATAATCGAGTAAGTAATCTTAGTGACTCGTCACCATAATTTTTCCAGGGTTTAGGGCCTGTTGAGAAGCTTTTGGAAAGTGTTATCAAGGATATGTGCTACCATAAAATTTGCCGTGTGATTTATGAATTTGCTGTGAATCGTTGTGTTTTAGATCAAAGGATCTGGGTTCTAGATAATGTCCACAGTGTGTTCCCGAAGTGGTCGAGGAGTTGCTTTTATATCTTTATTTTGTGCGTCAATTCGCAGAGACAGATATTGGTGGTGGATGGAGTTATTGAAAATAATATAAGTACTGCTGCAATAAGGTATTTCAGATACGCTGAGCTGGTTTTATTTTTGTTACTCCATCACTCGAACCTTATTGCTTTCACGTATACCATAACAAGTAGATGGATGCCTGTTTCATTAGTAGAGATCTTCTTGGCTAAATATCAGATAGTAAATTGTATTGTTTAGACTTCTGTGCATATACTCATGCTATTTTAATGGGCGTCTACTCTTTTGCAGGCGAAATTTGTCGAGGGGCTTGTCAGTAAAGTATTTGATTCCTGATTCAGTAATCGACCATATCAATATGAACCACGTATATTCATAATGTTATCTCTTCGCAATGAAGCTTGTTGCAGCAAACCTATGTGAGCTAGATGACCAGGTGTTGAGCTCTTCTGACGATCTGTAGATGTCTCACACTTAAACGCAATCTTCTGGAGAGGATGCAGGGTTTGCTATATTTCTTGAAATAGAACATGTCTCTGAAATGCCAGACTGCCATTGATTTGTTGCAAGATTTCTTGTATACATATATGGACTAAGCTTGTCGCTAAATCGCTTACTACTTGTCTTGTTTTAAAACAGTGTCTGGTCGTTGGTTGTGTAGCTGCTAATAGCTTTCTTTCAAGTGATTTTTTTAACGGTTTTGTTGGACTTCAATTTACAGCTTGCATGTTGACATAATGTTGGAGGAACCACGCAATCGACTCGATTAACCCAACTTCTATTTCCAGGTTAGTCTGCTTCAGAAGTAGGCACTGCACAAAGTCTTCATTCAGAATCGTTCTTGAGCACCGTAATTAAGAATGTGTCTTGTCTTCAGCAATTGTGGACCTGCTTGACAGTGTCTTCTGCAGTTTAAACTGTACGCGGCTATCTGTAACTGATTTTGTTTTACAATCAATCTAAATGGCAGAGTAATTATGTACTTCATTATGCCTCCGTAGTTCGAAATATGAATTTCATGCCGTTAGAGGATTTTCTACGAAAATGTATTTGTTCTCTCTCAAGACAACCTCGCGATTTCGAAGTACATTTCTAAAGAATTTCACGAGAACTCCATTCCATGCGTAATGATGTTTCGTTGCTGCAATTAGGAATTTATGAAGTAATTGGGTAGTCGGAAATATATTCTGCAGCAAGTTTTGTAAATAGTACTTCACATCACGAAAAATCACACACGGAATTTGCGTAGACAAAAATTGCAGGACCTTTCGAAGTATTGTGTTCTAGATTTAAATGCTTGAGATTATCAATCCGAACAAAACCTCGGACTGTAAGAGAGAAGATCTAGCAGGTGATTCTCGACGCCAGCAGTGAAAAACGAGGCTAGTTGTTAGACCCGGGTTAGCTGGGCCAACTGGAACTTCCGACTTTACATCTGTCCCATATCTTGGTAAACACCGACGCGGACCTTGCCTCAGAATCCCATGCATTCAGCCAAGGTAAACATTGGACACAGAATTGGCACACACCGTCAACGAAGGTCATTATCCTTACGTCCAGATTACGAATTTTTTTGATCAAGCTGGTCAAGGGTAATTAGTACGACTCAAACCAACGGTCGAGGATACCAGCAGGACAGATCACCTCGAGGACCAGCTGGGTCTAGTGTCATCATTCAGTTGGGTGTAGTTAACATCAGCAATCCAGTCCACTTGCCAACATAAAACAAATGTTGTAGTTGCCAATGATTTTTGTTGAGAGACACAAGAGTAGTTGGAAGTAATGTGCACACACAAGAGTGTATAGATGAAGAGAGAGCTTTTTATTTATGTATTGATGTGGTTGTTTCTTGTACACAAAGAGAAGGGGAGAAGATAAACAGTTTCTCTCTACTACATTCCAAACATTGTAGCTATAGTATTTACTATAAACTACAATAAATATTATAGAGAGCGCCAGCTACATTTTATGCTCTCAACACTCTTCTTCACTCATCATAATATTTATATAACATAAAATTTGCATAGAATTATGATCTATACTTTTTTATAAACTTGCAAGATCAATAGCTATTGCCTCATTAAAACCTTATCTAAGAAAACCTTATTGTATTCAAGGGCAAAACCATAGATGAAGGAAAAAGAGTACAACATTTATTTATTTATTTATTTATTTATTTTTAATTATTTAAAGAATTCATTAACTTTTTTGCTCAAGAAAAGAAAGTTGTTGCATGCAAATGCCATAAGTGAGTTGGCAACAGTTGTACAAAAAGAGAACTTTGATGAGGAGATCAACAAGTTTATTTGCAGATTCAATTTTCTTGATCTTAAGAGTTTGATCAGTAATCAAGTCATAAATATAACTAAAATACTTTGGATTAATATATTTTATCATGTTATCTTTAATGAAACCAACTTGCATTTGTGCAATACAAGTGCTATTATTTTTATACAAGATAGTTGGAGAATCATCATATAAAAGTCCTTAAGTTGTTTGAATGTTTTTATCAGTTGATTGCAATCAAATACATCTTCAAGATGCTTTATGTAAGGTAATAATTTTTGTATGGTTAGATGAAATTATAATTATAGTTTGTTTTACTAGTTTTTATGATATAGCAACTTCATGTTCTAAAAATATATAGTTTGTTTAAGATTTAGTTGTTGTAATATCAGATTTATATCCTGCATCATAATATCCAACTAATTTTGGATCTATAGATTGTATGTAGTATAATCCTAAGTTTTCAATGCCTTTTGAATAACAACATATATAGTTGATGCCATTCCAATGTCATAGTGTTGGACGTGCATTGTATCTTGCAAGAACACTAATTGCAAATGCAATATATGGTCTTGTAGATGTGGTTAAATATAAAAGTGCTCCAATCGTTGCAAGGTATGGATATTGAATTCCCAATATTTCTTCATCTTCTTTATATGAACGGTATATATCATCACCATCACAACGACATCCAACCATTAGTTTTGACAATAGATAAGCATTAATCATATTGAAACTCCACAAGATTTATCTAATATATGTTAATTAATAGAAAAAAATGCTATCACTTGTGAGATGCATAATCTAAGACCAATGTAGAAAGTTATTTTTCTTAGCATTTTTATTTTAAACTTACAAATAAGTAGGTTAATAGCTACAATACATGTAGATCTAGTACTCATTAGATTAAGATCATCAACATATACAACAATGATTACAAAACTATTTTTTTCTCGTTTGATAAATAAACAAGGAATTAATGGAACACTTATAAATTTATTTATAATTAAATAATCTTAAAGATATTAATACCACATAGGTTTAGATTATTTTAGACTATATAGGGCTTTATGTAATTTAATACCATAATATTGTCCTAGAGTAGGTCCATTTAGAGTTCCCATTTCCAAACCAAGTAGAACTTTCATATAGATATCTACATTAAGAGAACCATATAGATATGCAATTATCACATCCATGAGATGCATCTTAAGGGTGGCATGAACTACCATTCCAATAATACATTGAAATGTAATTGAATCCATAACTAGAGAATATGTGGATTCATAATCAATTCCAAATCATTGGATAAATCTTTGGACAATAAGATGAGTTTTATAGTGGATTATTTGACCCTTAATATCTTGCTTAGATACTAATATCATCTTATATTCCATAAGATAAGATATAAGAGTGTTTATAATTGGACCAAAGACTTTTTTTCTTACACAAAGAGACCTATTCTTTCTCTATGGTAGTTTTTCATTTTAATCAGCTAGAGTAATGTATAGTTTCTTCAATGGTTTAAATTTCAGAATCTTTTTTCTTGCAAGAAAGAGCTTTTGCAATCATGCAAGAAAATAATTCATCTATTGTAATAGATGGTCTATGTCAAATGTCATTTATAGCATAATATGGAATAAATAATTCTTTGCTCAATTTTATTTTATTCCTCTTAATTTTAAGATTTTCTATTGTATGAGGTGAAGATATAATATACATAGATATATCATCATTAATTGATAATCTTGTAGTTTTAGTAAGAACTTCCATAGAAACAATATCAAAATTAATAAATATTATAGTCTTCTTCTTATGTAGTTGCTTATTTGGTCAATGAGTCATTTTAATTTTTGATGTTATTACCTAAGATATATTAGTTAGTGGTATTGCAATCTAAGCAGGTATATTTTAAGCCTCATTAATAGAAAATCTTATAATCTAAGGTACATCATTGAAGCTATTAGGTGTTTCATCTATGATCCATTTTAGATACAAAATCTTGGAAACTTAAATTTCAACTAGGTTATATTATAGGATCAAAATTTATTATAAATATTTTTAGTGCTTCAAATATAAGTACTCTATTTCTTTATTGATTAGATATTCTTTCTAAAAGAAATGGGAATTCATTCTCTTCAAAATGGAAATTTTAAAAACATGCACATAATAATATGCTACTTGATGGATCAATAATAAAAATAATGCTTGGTGAATTAAAACCAACGTATTTGCCTTTTTGTTGATGAACTCCAATAATATGCCATTAAGGTTTTGATACCAAAATCCAAGCATGATAACTAAACATCTATAAGTAAGATACATTAGGAACATGATCTAAAATGACCTCTTGTGGTGTAATAATTTCAAGAGAAGGATGGAGGTGTATTAATGCTGCAACATGTAAAACTGCATGATCCCACATAGATGTAAGTAAATTTGCATGAAGAAATAGTAGCTGAATAATGAGTTGTATATACTTTATAAATGACTTTGCAAGTCCATTTTGAGCATATTCATATGAAATACAATATATCAATTCAATCTCTATTATAGTACAATAGTCTTCAAAAGACTTTGATGCAAATTCTTTTGCATTGTCCATATGTAATGTTTTGATAGAATAATTAAGAAAATAAACTTAGAAATAAATAAGCATAGATATAAGATTAGCTAACATCATGTTTTAGATTGATAATAATAAAAAATGTGATTATTTGCCTAATCCATCAATAAAGTTCAAAAAATGATAAAATAGTCCAAATATTAGATTAATAGGACCACAAATATCATTATACAATATTGGTAGTAATTCTCATGAGAGTTTCTAAATTGAAGGCCAAGCAATCATCTTGCCTTGTAAATATGCATGACTTATTTCTTTAAAAATTGTATCTGTAGGTTATACTTAGTTATACATAGAATTATCTTCTAAAATAATGTAGATCCTAGATGTCTCAATTGTCTATGTGAAAAAAAAAACGTAACTTTCAATGATAGATGATGCAAAATTAAATATAATGAGAGGTTGGATTGCAATATGATATAAACCATTTGTCATAGCAAAGGCTTTTTCAACAACTTAATGGTTGTATACAAAAATAAAAACCTTCCATCTATTTAAAATGGTGGTTGAGAGATAATAACTATTGGCATACATATCTTAATACTTGATCAAACTTTGAGGTATTGAGGGCACAAACATTGCATATTCACATTTTATGATAGAGCTTACAAGAAATTTTACCAAACTGCTGAGGGTTTAACCAAACTCATTGTAGCTGGTAATGTGCCTGAAACCATTGAAGTTCATGCGCTTATTAGTGCTGATGCCCTTGTTGCAATTGTTGCAGCTAATAACCTGAAGCCTGCTCCTGCCCTTGGTGAAATGTAGGTATCAGCCTATTTTTGGATGTTGGATGCTTTAATGCTTGTATGTTTTTGAGTAGACTATTAAGTAGGAAGTTTTATTCTTGATTTATAAATTCGTATGAATTTTATTGCATGTGTTATTGCAAACTTTTAGTTGCATATGTCGTGAAGGTGTGTGCTCTGTTCATTCTGTTAGACCGTATTCGTTGTTTTCAAGTGTTCAAGGCTTCACACTAGTGTTATAAATGCACCAAGTGCATATAAAACCCAAGACTGGTTTAGATTATTTCAAGTCGACAACTAAAACTTTTATTCACAAAATTTCCCAAGAGTTTTAAATCAACGAATGCGGTGTTCTGTTTATTTCCAGCTACCTGGAGAGGCTAGAGAGCTTGATGAGGAATATCGCAGTTTCAAGGAAAAGAACGAAACCGTCCGTGGGCTAGGTTATGCGAAGGTATCATTCTTGTTAAAATTCAATGACCAGATCTGAAGTTTATGTGCGCTGCAAAGTTTATGACGCTGCAAAGGCTATCAGTTGTGCTTTTCGTGGAGTTTGTGTTGAGCTTCAGAACCTTCGCCGTCCAATTGCAAGTGATGTCGGAAGATCTGAGCTAGTCAAAGCCCTTGCTTCATACTTTTTTGGCTTGGAGGGATCATGGTTGGACTCGATATGTTTGTTCATGGAGAGGCAACTTATTGGTTCCCCACCCAGTTATGTAGGTTGCAGCGCATGAGGTCAGTTGACAGAAGCTGTTCTCCGTAGGCCACATAATGTTGTCCTTGTCGATGAAATTGAGAGGTTGCATATGTCGTGAAGGTGTATCCTCCAATAGCCATATTTGAGGATGTATCCTGGTATATTTAACATGATGGTCCAGATTTTGGAAGATTTTCATCTTACTGATAGAAAGGGGAGAATTGTAGATATTAAGAATATACTCCTGATTATGACCTTGAACTTTGGATGCAGCGTCATTGAGAAGGGTGCTGGTTGCATTGGTTCTCAGTTGGGTCACGGCGAGAAGAATTCAAGCTACAACCTAGGCATTGTTAACGAAAAGCCATGTTAACGAGGAGTTGAAGCAGTATTTTCGGCAAAAGTTCTAGAATAGGCTGGATGAGATTATTGTCTTCAGGCAGTTGAATAAATCTTACGTTAAGGAAATTTCCGGCATTTTGTTGGAAGAGGTGTTTTAGCGACTGGAGAAGAAAGAAATCGACGTTCAGGTTTGAGATACTTTGAAAATTTTCGTTTCGTTTTTAATTAGCCTGGACGTTTTGTTGGAAATTAAGGAGGGTAGTTCAGCCATGATTGGTGTGATTAGTGCAGGTGTGACAGTGTTGAACGCCATTACTGGATCATCCTCAAATATGGCTATTGGAGCTCCAGTTGGCATTGCCTGATTGTAGTATTGAGGCTCTAATTGGGTGGCATTACTATCATTGTACTCAACCTTCGAGTTCCCTCCTGGAAAGAGTTCTCGAAGTGGATTTGTATAACAAAACAATGTTTATAAATGCGCAATGTCGACGAGTAAATATGTTTGAACGAACCTTTCACGTTTTCAATGCTTTCTCTGAGCTGAATGATTCCTCTCCCCTTAAGTTCAAATGGTCCCTAACTCTTCATCCTTTACTTTGAATGAACTGTTGTTTAATAACCAGTGATTGTACGAGGGGATGTTAACACTTAACAGCAATGGTAAATGAGTGTACTGTACACATTTAGAAATGCTCTTTAACTAAGTTACATATCAAGACGCTGGTAGTTTGCACGACAAATGGGACAACTGAGTTCACATTGTGAAATCCGTTCAGAAATAGTATTGTAAGCTTCAAAGGCAGAGATGCACCCTCTATGGAACATATGGCTGCAACTCAACCATGACAGTGGCTTACCTCCTTGCTGCATCGGAGCAATGCAAATCGGACAATCACGATCGTATCTCTCTTCTGCCTGCAATTTTAGACGTTTAAAAACATCAGAAATCGTTTGAATAAGTTATTTTACTGCCGTCTAGAATCTGTGCATATGTCTACTGTCATTTTACAAAACTTCATGTTATTCAAAAAAAAAGAGTTGTTTAGACCTTAGTGATGACGGCTTGCCAATCCACTTCTGGCACGCAATTTTCAACGATTAGATGTGTCAATGCTTGAGATGCCTTTTGTTGAGCATCATGGATGTCTTGGTTGGTCTTTGATACAGTCTCATCAATCTCCTTGAATAGCTCGTCGATCTCTTTGTCTTGTACACCCAATTGACCAAGAAGGTGGTCCGTTGATGAAGCAAGCTGTTTGTAAACCACAAGTGGACTTGCAGTTTAAATCTTTTATGTGCATTCTTAGTGACAGAAAGAGGATCAAGGAATATACCATTTTGAGGAAACATTGTCTTCTGCATGGAAGGAGATGGCTGTACTTTTTCCTGACATAGTAGCCTCGAAATGCAGATTGTATCCTATCCAAGATGGCATGCCTATTCGTTAATATTGTAAGGAAAAACGTGCAAAACTCTGACTTGATAGATCGCAGATATAGAATGGGGAAAATATGAAATACAATAATAAAAAAGTGATGATAATCATACTGCAATTTACCTCTCAGCACACAAGGCTTTGCTCAATGCAACATGAACGTTTTTCTGGTAAGGTTCTGCTCGGCAAATGGGACAACATCGTATCCTTGAAAACTTCTCGAAACTTTGAAGACAAAGCTGAACAGATTTTTCAAGGAATTAGGTTAAGGGTATGAAACTAGTGTGACATGTTGTTGAGATTGTGCTCAGAAAAGCAAGTGCTGCATGTATTTTCTGTTAAGTCTAACAACTGGCACTCACAGTCACACCTCATGCTATTCACCGCAATGTGGGGGACATCCATCTCCGCTACTCATCAATCAGATATTAAAAACGTATAATAATTGAAAATTATATGTCGTGTCTGCTGAAACAAGGATGACGATGAGTTGTGACAAGTGAGCACACCTTGTGGAAAGCGTGCGAGCAGCTTAGAATCACCTATTCAGGGGAGCAAAATATTTATGCTGCCGATTAGTACATTTTATGGTAGGATTGTGCACGTAAAGCTACACTGTGCAACTGGAACATCACGAGAAGGTTTAACCTGCTGCTTCTTCAATCCAAACCGTTCCAAGCATATTGGACATGGATGCAAAAAGTCTCTCCTTCCTCTCGAGATTCGCAGGACCTCTTCCCATTGCAATGGTGTAAGTTTCTTGGCATTGATTGTGCGAACCGCATCTGTAAATTCGCTTATTCCCCAGTAATACATCAAGATTTACCACAGAACAGAGGGTGATAATAAAAAAACAAATCTGAAATGTTATGTGGGCATGGCCACACGTAACAGTAACCTCGTCTAGAAAAGCTGACTATGAATAAGATCCTGAGTACAAGACATAGCTATACAACCTCACCGGCACGTTGAAGTTGATAATTTTGTCTCAGAAACACAGAGCAATTTCACATTTGAGCAACGAACCATTCGCAAGCGCGGAGGATGTCTGCAACAATGTCGGGGAGCTGACCCCATGCCTTCGACCTGCCACCTACAGATAGTCGTTCGATTCATTTCAATCGTTAGTGCTCGTTTGTATGCCTTGCGTGGATTGGTATGAAAAGCGCGAGCCAGTTTCACTAGTTGTCAATCACACGGTGTATATGAGATTATTATTTCATACTGTAAATTAGAGAAGGGCAATGATCTTTCGCAGTATACACTTCTGTTCAGAGGATATCACCACCACCACAGCTTTAAAACACTTTTCAGGACAGTTGAAAGAGAAATACTTGGGTAAAAGCCTCACGAATTGGTCCAATTTTGCCTTGGATTTGAGATTGCAGCACAGCGGCGGCGTGAACATCCTGTCCTCCACAGGATCACCACTTTCAGGGCACTAAATTAGCACGAGACATCACTGAAGGCAGTTAATGCGATAAATCTATGGAACCTCATTCTCCGAACATCATCATGTGGATAATCTTCAGACGTTGCAATAATGTTTTTACGATGTACGAATTTTCGTTATGGTCTACACTTATTCAGAAGAAGTCGTTTCAATATCAGCCATGCGAGTGATCGAATATGCAGGCACGGAAGGTGTCGCTTACCGAGGAAGTACGGAGGTATTTCTCGCTGAATGTTCGAGGTATTCTCCTCATTTATGCGTGGCAGACAAGCATCTAAAACAGACAATCAGCTAATTCTCCGCTTGTCCGCTATTTCATCGCAGTCTGAGTGAATACTTTTACATATGGACCAGTTTAAGAATCTCTTGATCGATCAGGCTGTGTGTCGTCACTGCTTAAGAACAACCAGCTTTCACGCAAAGGACATTAGGTCAACACATGCTGTTTGTCAGCATCCACTCTTTGGACATTCGGGTGTAATGCAGGTAACCTAAATTCAATGTTCAGTTTCGAAAGGTGAGATTGTGAGAACCCTCCACCTCCAAAACCACTGATCTCTCGCAAATCAACTGACCAGATTACAGAAAATATGCTCATCATAAATTGTCTTCTACATCTGAATTGCACAGTCTAGAATGATCAACTGGACTTGGGGACCAACATTGGCTCACCTTGATTGATGCACAATATGTCGCATCAGGATGTAGATAGACATGCATACAACCTGTTTCAAATCATACCCTTGTGGCAACAATAAAGTTGCAGAAAATGATAACATCCAGGATATCAATGAAAATATGAACACTACAATTGAATGAGCTAACTTTGTGTGCATAGGTTAAATTAAAGCCACGATGATTAGTTCTCAATGATTTTCATTGTGCATTGACCTATATTTTGGTGCTACTTTTTGACTTCCATCATCAGATTCCACATCAGTCTCATTGGTATCATCACAAACATCCTCCACAGGCTCACCGTCGAGAATCTGTTACGCAGCAGCTGGGAAAGCTTCGGCAGAATTACGACCACTTAAGTTAAAGCTAAAACCTGCACTGACTGCACAGAATTGATCAGAGCAGGAATTTTTAAACAAGAAATTTTGATACTTACCAAAGATTAAAAGAACAGAACCAAGTGTAAATATGGTCAGTGTTGTAAATGCACCACTCCAACTCCACCTGATACAGCACCAAGAAAAAGGACAAGGTGGTCATTCTCCATCACTAGCAACGATGGTTCGATGAGGAACTTTTTCTTGTAGCATAGTCCTTGGAATATTACAGAATTCCAACTTCGTATTATCATAATGACCTCCTAAAACACAGACATAGCAAACCAGCAAACGTCCGGGGCGAAATGGGTTTAACCGCAGAAAGCAACGTGCTCACAAAGTTTTTAGAAAGCACATTATACTTTTGAGTGAAAACTCACCTTTGTTGCGAGTTTAATAGAATTTTCATTTGTGACTAGTAAATCGAACTGTTCACATTCGTTCTACCTGATGCCAGAAAATAACCTTCGATTCAACTAACCATAGGTATCGGAAGACTGTCCTTCACTCAAAGCTTTCGAAAGGGTGGCACTTTACAGCTTATTATGCAAAGAAATAAACAGATACTTTCATTACTACAAGGAAGTCCGGCAAACTTATCGTAAGCATCATAGGCTTGGCCTCGCTACATGATTGATGAATAACGCGCAGCTGCTCTTCAAAGGATTTGCTCACGAAATGCGGCTGGAAGGGGCCCATGTTTACGGCCACCTCCAGACGCTTCTCCATGTTCTGCCGTATCTCAAATCCCTCCTCCAATTGGCAGGTATCCGCGATAATTTTGCCGGAAATAACATGATCAGATGAGAGTGTTTTATTTGGAAAACAATTGGACAAGCCTTTCCATCCGAATCAAATCCTAATGGTTTAACTCCATGCTACAATGTGACCTTAGTTCCAAAATAGATTCATCGTGTTGGACTTCGACTTTCGCGTTGTTCACGCTAGAATTGTTGCGTTCGAACGTGATGATGGATTTCATAAAGAAAAATGCATCCTATCATCTACAATTTCATTAACCAATACAAAACTTCGCAAAAAATCCAGAATGCATATCCAGCAATAAAAATATCATATAATTCATCATGCAATGTACACTCTAAAGATTCACCAATTCAAACGATAACAGAGATCCGAAATCTTAACCTTCAAATTCAAATTTTCAGTACCATACCTAATGTAAGTGTCCTTCACAAAGTAAAAAAGAACACTTCCATAACAGTTCACTGCACAAATGCTCCTACCAGCAATGCTAAAGTGCTGGCTACTCCAACACAGGGAATAGCGTGTCCAGGGTAGCTCGCTGCTTAAATTCACTGACCAAGCATCAACGTCCGAAAAATCAACCACACGACCACAAAAGCACACATTTCTGGTACCAAAACTGTTGCAGAAAAAAATCCGTTATTGTTTGCATACTGAGTTCACATCGTTTGCCAAACGATACATAGAAGCCATTAAAAGAGCACGCCGATCTTCATCCTGACTGGTGTCCGTGCACATCAATTCTCTTTTCTCCTCATGAAAAAGTCGCACTCGCATGTCTCCCCTTCTGCCTGAAGCTAGTTGAAAGAGATCACTACATGAAAAAATCCATGTTACTCAACACCCAGTACAACCTACGCTACTACCCCTTGTTTCATCCTACGAAACTCGGGGTCGGCAAACTTTCAACAGAAACCACTCTCCAAAAACCGCACTCTACTACGACTCATTTGCGCTGCCACATCTACAACACCGTGCCCCATCCAATTCATGTAATCCTACGTAATTATCCCCAGCTTTCGCCTCGCTACACATCCATGCGTATTCATGGCATGCCTCCAATTCATGCCTACCAATTATTCCTCACCCTCCCCATGACCATCATCTGCATTGCACACACCACACCATCCAACAGCCCCCATGCACACACTTCGACTCCGCCGGACTGGGCCTAAGATTCGAAGAGACGATGCAAAACACCACTCCTCACATCATTACCGTCCATGACCATCAAGCATCGAGTCCCAACCCCCAAACCTCTGGCATCAAACTGCGCGAAACCACACCGCAAATACAAAATGCACGCACACTGATTTTCATTTGCCGTGTCAAGGAGAACCGGTGGAGGTCTTTACACCGCAATCCCAACCAGGTCAAGCCCAACATAGAAAACTCCACTGAATCCTCACAGAAACTTCATGAGCATCAAATCATTTGCGCTCTCATTCCGCCTCTTCACAGACTGGGAATCTCGCCGACTTGGTCACAAGGGCTTCATCTCTATGGCTACTCAGAAAGACAAAAATATTTAGGGTTTCCGCCTCCGCCCCACTCGTTCCACTGCACACGCCCAGACACACAAGACCACTAATAATCGTTCCCTCAAATCTTGTCGATGTCTTCGTCCTCGAATTCCACATAATCGTCGTCGCCGCCACCCTCCTCGTCATCCATGCCGCCGGCAATACCCTCGTTCAGACGCACGTTCTCGGGCAGCTCGCTATACGCTTTCAGAAGCCTGGCCTCGTCCGGCTGGTACTTAAGAATCACGTCCGCCTTGTCGTCCTGGTAATCTCTCAGACCTACCAAAATAATATCCCCCGACGCAATCCACACCTTTTTGTGCATCTTCCCGCGTATGTGGCACAGCCGCTTCGTTCCATCGATGCACAGCGCCTCGCACCGCCCGTTGCCGAGCATCCTCAGTACCTGCGCATACTCTTGCCCGTCCTCCTTGAACACCAGCTCCCGCTTCTCGTCCTCCGCCTCGTTCTTTCCTCTCTTCCGGTTCTTTCCTCCCTTTCCCTTATTCTTCGGCATCCTGACAAATTCCCCTCACACGCCCCACCACAAAATTCACCGCAAACTCCAACCCAACCTTGTTCAACAGCACGACGCTCTTGCTCACTCGTTCGCTTGCTCGCCTGCGGCGCACACACGGCTGCAGCAGGCCTGAATATACTTACTGGCTGTAGCGGACTCCTGACGCAAATGACAATGCGAGCGGGCCGCCTTGTGGGCACCTGATCCCGCGCCATACGGGCCCTGTAACCGTCGTCGGAGCCAACCACTGCATCCCAAAGGGTGCCCATGACCGCAGCGATGCTTCACATACAAGCAAAGGGAAGGGTTGTGTGGGAGCTCTGAACTGGGCTGCCAAAAGCAATGCTCATGTGTGAATTCTTTAATTGCTACAAGTAGGCATCAAGCGGTAAATGAATTGTGACAGATCACATTTCTTTGTGAATAAAATCAATAGGATGTGTTTGAATATGTGAATGGCCATAAAAAATAATTTTGGAAGAAGACTGAAATCTCAACAAAAAAGTATGAGTTTTTATTATTAGAGGATTGAAATTATTGCTTAGAGATTTTGGATTTTATTTTGTAAGTATGGATTATGGTGCCATGTCATTATTATGGCATCAGTAGAAAATTGTAGGAGAAATAGGATTATAGAAAATATTTGATTTTTATCATTTTAATTCATGATATAAATATATGGTTTACATTTATGCAAATTATGATATAAATTTAGAATCAGGCTATTATTTTATTGAAGTAAATTATTATTTTTTGATATCTATATAATATAAGAAAATATGAAATTTATATTGAATGTAATTTTTAATATTGTAAATTATATTTATATTCAAATAAATGGTTACAATTATTCCACACGAAGATTTTAACAATTTTTTTAGAATATTCTATTAAGTTTTAGAGGTTCCAAAAGATTCTAGAAAGATTTCTACAAAGTTTCAAAATATTCTTAGAATATTTTAATAGATTCTAAAAAGTTCTAGGAAAATTAAAGAAATTGTCTAAGAAGCTTCCTAGAGTTATTTCATCTTTAAGCAACATAGAAATTTCTTAATATCTAATATATATTAGAATTGATGCTGAAGAGATCCTCAATCTTGATAATATATTTTTTAGAGTTCTAGCTCATTTCTCTTAATGTTGATCTTATACTTATCTAGTTAAATCAAGTTCTTATTAGCTTTCTTGTTTAAATTCTTTTATTCAACTTCTTGTTTGATTTCTTGTATAGTGTATCTATGATAGTTTGTCGAGATTGCCATCTTATCAATATTAGAGTTTGATCCTTCTTGATAGAAAGTAGATTACTCCTCTCCTTGAAAGCATCTAAACACTTTAGATGTTGCAAAGTATCTTCTTCTAAATTAATATTGTTTGAAAATTCTTTTATTTTTTAAAAAATGGCTGGAGGTGAAGGCATATCATGGACATACATATTTACGATGATATTTATCTATATGATTAAATAAAAGTAAATAAAAGTAAATTTATTTCATAATATGTTTTAGAAAAGCTTTTCAGAAGCTTCTTAGATGCTAAGTTTACTTTACTTATGTTTATAGTTGATTGGAAGATTAGAAATTTGGTCAATAAGTTAACCACGTGTCTATAGCTTGCAAAATAAGCTAATTATGTGGCATACATATAAAAAACTTATCTTGCAAGTTAAGATACACATTTTGTAAAGTCAACACATTTTGGAGATCCTATAGGATATTGCCATGTAGCTCTTAGTTAAGAATATATATAGAGACAAGAATGAAGCCTTTTTTACTCTTATCAATACCTTTTTAGTCTTTAGTCTTGTTTCAAGAATTTCTAGTCTTCTTATCTTTAGCAATAGTGATTCCAATTTAATACCATATTATCTTTGAGTGACTTTCTAGTTTTTTTGAGTGACAGAAGAATATATTAAAGATTTCTTTCTTCAAGATTCATGTTCTTAATAGTTTGACAAGAGTGCTAATTTACTATTTTTGTATTATTTTAGAAGTGAGTGGATTATCTCACTTCTATTGTTGTGTTTTAAAGGATGTAGACTATCTACCTTTAAACAAATAATCTTATTTCCTAAGACTAATTTTTTCTTTTAAGAGAGTAGATTATTTTTCTTTGTAAAATATTTCATTTGATATTAGAAGTTATAGATTATTTTTTTTCTAATTTAACTTTTTGAATTTATTTGAATTGTCTATGGAAAGAAAGTTTATAGATGCTATTTTCAATAGAAGTGAAAATAGATTTATAACTATTGTAAATATTTATGAGTTTGTCAACACTCTAAGAGTAAAAATCTCACATATTTCCAACATGAATCATGAAAGTACTATTCCTATGCTTATACAAGAAGTTCAAAGTCTGCATCAAAAAGTTGTGTAGTTGAAGGAAGCAAGTAGATCGACCTCACAACCAAATTTAGGAAGTTTTGCTTCTACAAGTATGATGGAAACAAGGATTATTATGTCTAAGAAGTTTGATGGAACAAAATCAAAATTTTGAAGATTTTTGCAATAAGTCAAGCTTTTCTTAAGTTTGCATCTTATCCAATATTTTGATAGATTTATTCAAGTTAGATTCATAGATGCACTTCTATCAAAAATTACTTTGTCTTAGTTTGCAACTTTAATAGAAAAAGTTTTGTGACTCTTTTATAATTTGAATTCATTCTTAGAAGTATTTATGGCCATATTTGGAGATAGTGATTGAAAAAGAGTAGTAGAGACCAAGCTCTTATCTTTATGGTATTGTATTACGTGTTGTCTTGTTTAAGAATGCATTGGACATCTAGATGTGGAAGGTGAGGTTGTGTTTCATAAATATGCAAGAAATTCTAATAGATTTTACTCACATGAAAAGAATATAATCCAAATTTTAATTCAAAAATATTAAAAAACACTCTTCATAGTAGCCTCAATCATACATAAATCCCAATTATCTTGTTACTTTCATATTTAAGCAATTTAGATTTTTTTTGAAAATCCTAACTCTAATCAGTGAGCTTTGACAAGCTGTAACTTCTAATTTGATCATCCACTTGATGTGAAATTTTGCATGCAATTGGCAATATTAGTCTTCTACATGCTCAAGAAATTTCAGCCCAATCCAACTAATAAATTGTGAAAAAACCTCAAAAATTGCATTGATATCACTTGGTCACCAACTTGAAAGGTGATGTAGAAGTTCTAGCAGTGATTTTTTCTTCTTTAATTATTAAATTCAACTCAAAATTGATATGTAGCTTGGTCTTCAAGTCTTCCAAGACCACACAAAAGTTTACCTTGATTTGACTAATAGATCTTTAGATATCATAGAAACCTTATCCAACCTCAAACTGCAAACGTCTGATATGTTCTTGTATCAAAACCCAGATATCTCCCAATTGCACCATTGGATTATTACAAATTTTCACATACACATAAAAAATCTAATTAACCAAGTACTTTTAAAATTTTAACCATGGATGTGATACCAATTTTATGAACTAGCTGAGAGTGCTAGCGCTAATTTCATTGCATAAATCCTAAGTTATCAATACAAACCTTGATTTTTAACAATAATTGCTAAGTTCCAACAAATCCTACCATAATT